CTTCAGGGCGTCCCCCTACCGGAAGTCTGCACCTCTGCCACATGGTCACAGGTGTCCACATTTATCAATCACTACAAGATTGGACCTTCGGCTGAAATCTGAAGAAGCTTTTGGGTGTGATATGTTATCTACCTTGGCGTGACACCCTCCTCCGGGTAAGGTAGCTTGTTAGTCACCCATAGTGTGATTCACAGAGGGCATGAAGAAGAATGATAGGTTACCTACCTGTAATTGTAATTCTTCGGGTAGACCTCTGTGATTCACACATCCTGACCCAGCCTCCCCACTGTCACACCCTTTTCTTTATGCAGTGGTTGACCTAAATGAAGGGAGAGCCTTTGCACCAAGGTACATATACCGGGGGGAGGGGTCTGTACTAATATATATTTTTTGCTACCACAGAAGCTCTAGAATATTCCACGAGGCTCCACGCATGCGTGGATTACCCCATAGTGTGAATCACAGAGGTCGACTCAGATAACTACAATTACAAATAGGTAACTTGTCACTCTTTGGTCTGATTATCCCCCTCCAATCACTGTCAAGGATTTACATATCTAATGTTCTTTTGCAATCTATTGTTCTTTTAGCCCAGAAGCCCACAGTTTCTGAATCAAAAGCAAAAAAGGGCTCTTTGATTCTATAGAATTCTGGAGTAATCGAGCTGGAATGGGTCTAAAGAGCCAGGTGCCCTGTTTTCTGTGTCTTGTCAATGTCATCTTTTCCCTCACCTGTCACACAAACACTTCAGTTTCTCCCCCCTTTGCTCCCTATCATCACACATAACTCATTTCCAGTTTCCGGCTGCTTCCCTACCCATGTGTTGCTGCTGCATCCTCACACTACTGGCATCTCTTTATGGTTACAATTTTCAGATTCAGCAGGATGTCTTTTGAAGTTTCTATATAGATATGCTGCCATCACTATAGAATGAATCTTCTCTCACATGTCTTCCTACTGCCCTTTTCTGTTTTCCTGTGTGCAAAAAGTAACCTTTAATTCTCTAGGAAGTTTCTATTAGCTTCTGCCTCCATGTTCTTCCATGATCCACTACTAAGGGTCTGACCATTTGTTCAACTTTCCTTGCACACATTTCCCAGATGCTATATTCCTGTATTCACACAACACAAGGCTGAAATTAGTGTCAACAGAGCAACACACATCTGAGAGATTTTTTTTTGCACCATTCCTGAGTGGTGGTGTATTTTTGTTCTGCTTTGCTCCAATTTGCTCCAGAGTGCTTTCTGCTCATGGGGAGCCCAGTGGATACACGTTGATCCATGCATTTAATGATATTTCCTTAGAGCTGTGTTTCTGCTGGTCCATCTTCATTCCTTACTGCCACTCCTATTTCATTTTGGGGGGATATTAGCTCTCTCTGCATTCTCATTTTTCATTTAATTATCATTTTTGTACCATAGCACATGAGTGAAAACTAAAAATAAAAAATAAAAATTATAAAGCAATGGGGCAAAAAATTAAAGGTTTGACAGTGGAAACAGAGCAGAGAGTGAAAGAGACAGGGAAAGGATATCATCTGGTCCTGCATTCTAATTTAATTTTTTTTAAAAAAAATACTATTCATACATACAAAACATATAGAACGACAATAATAGAACCTAACAAAACTGACATAAATAATAAAAACAGCAGAACTAAGCATTCATATTGTATATGGATCAGAGATTTCGCCATTGTCTGGTCATCTAATATCATTGAAGTGTTATTGTGACCACTAATTTGCTATAACTATTTCTTCCCTTAAGTTCCAGTTTATTTCTGGGCCCAATTGTATATCAGCTTCCCGCTTTCCTTTACAAAGTGTCTCGGTTGATCCTGTACTGCCCATGAAAGCATATCTAGTTCTGCAATGTCCAGAAGCAGAGTAATACTGTGTTTCCCTGATAATAAGACAGTATGTTCTGAGAAATATGTCTGCTCTTAAATTTTCCATGCCAGCCCATTTTTAAATTGTGACCTTCCTATTTCAAGAGTCTTTGATTTTCTAATGTTATCAGTTCTTTTATCCAAACTATAGCACAGGCCCTGTAGTATAATAGCCAATTTGGCAGTCCCAGCCCTCCTTTCTCTTTTAAATCTTGTAGTGTTTAAGTTTTATTCTTGTTTTTTTGGCCTTACATTCAAATTTCGAGGCTCAGGCTGTCTAGGTCCTTGAAGTATTTATAATTTGATAAAATTGGTAAACTTTGAAACAAGAATAATAATTTTGGTAAAATGATCATTTATTGTCAAGATTCATCCCATCATTGAGATTTGTAGATTGCTCCAATCCTCTAGGTCCCCTTTTATTTCTTTCTGAATTGTAAAATGATTTTCTTTTACAAGTTACTTGTCTTTTTTGTAATAGTGACTCCTAAATATTTCTTCTGTACCTCCTCAAAATTAGTTTTTATTATCATTTTTTCGACATCCTCTTTGTTCATGTGTTTAGTCAAGAATTTCATTTTTTGGTAATTTATTTTAAGTCCTGCGACAGCTCCAAACTCTTCTATAGTTCCCAGTAGTTCTTCCATACTATCCAGGGGATTTTCTATTATCAGTGTTAAATCTTCAGTATATGCTTGTAGCTTAAATTATTCGCCCCTACCTCTAATTCCATTATTTCCTCTTATTTGTCTATTCAAAATCTCTAATGTTAAAATAAATAGCAACAGAGATAGGGGGAAGCCCTGCCTTGTGTCTTGTTCAATTTGGATATCTTCAGTTACTTAGCCATTGACTTTGATTTTAGCCTTCTGTTTAGTGTACAGTGGTGCCTCGACTTATAACCATCCTGACTTGCAACCAGTTCGAGTTACAACCAGCTCCGGTTGCAAAATTTTGCTTTGGCTTGCGCCTGGAGCTTTGAGATACAATCAGAAAAAAGGCGGGGAATTTAAACTGCTAACCATTGGTCGGCAAAGAGGCTGCTTCTTTGTAGCTCCTTCACCCCAGCGGTTAGAGAGTGCATTCTGAGAGAGGCTTCAACTACCTGGTACTGCTTTTATTTTTGCTTTTTGACTTTCTTTTTTAAAACGGAGAGACTGCCTGTTCTGGGTTTTGCAATATGGGTTTGGGCTGGGCGGGGGTTTGTTGGAATTGTTTTTTTTTTTAATTCTGTGGCTGCTCAGGTTTGGGTTAGCGGGGGTTATTTTTCTTTGCTTCAATGTCTCTTGCATTGTGTCGTTTTAGCATTTTTTAAATTCTGTGGCTGCTCGGGTTTGAGCTGGGCGGGGGGGGTTATGTCTCTGTGCTTCAGTGGGTCTTGCAGTGTGTTTTTAGTGTGTTTATTAGTGGGGGGGGTTGAAGCCAGAACGGATTAATTACGTTTCTAATGGGTCTTGCAGTGTGTTTTTTTAGTCCCTGCTGGAATGGGTTTGTTTGTTTCTGCAGGGGATTATGTTTCTTTGATTTGATGGGTCTTGCAGTGTGTATTTTATTGTGTTTTTAGTGAGGGGGGATTTCGGCCAGAATGGATTAATCACATTTCAGTGTATTCCTATGGGAAATGGTGCTTTGAGTTACAACCAACTGGAGTTATGACCATCATTCCGGAACGGAGTAAGTTCACAACTCAAGGCACCACTTTTAATTGCTTGTAAAAAAAGTTCCTTCTGCCCCCATTTTCTTTAATTGCAATAACATAAACTCCCAGTTCACATTATCAGTTCACATTATATTAGGAAAATATGCACTTATTTCCATGAGTCTGGAATTTTCCCTCTACTTTCAATATGATGCATTCATTTTTTGAAATGTGAAATTATAGTTTCTTCCAATACTTTATAATATTCAACCGGAATACCATTTGGTCCAGGGGCTTTACCATTTTTCTGTTTTTTCCATGCCTCCACAATTTCACTTGTCATGATTGTTTTATTTAGATTTTCCAAATGTTGAGAGCTAAATCTCCAGTCAGGGAGTTTATTAAAATAGTACCGTTGTTGCTCCTGCTCGGTTTCTTTCTTTTTATAAAAGTTAGTGTAGATATGTTGTATTATTTTTTAGGTTTCTTTTTGTTTATATGTTTCCAGGCCTTCCTTATCCATGATTACATTGATCATTGATTTTTCTCTCTTTTTAAATTCCATATGCTAACCATCTTGCTGGTTTGTTAGCATTCTCAAAGAAATTTTGCCTTACAATATACTTTTTTGGCCATTTCTTCCTGTCGCAATAAGTTCATTTTATGCTGCAATATATTTATCATATTTTAAGGTACTTAACTGTAGGGTTCTTTTTTTCAGTTCCATTTCTTCTTTCTTTAGGGATGGCTATTAATGTTTGATATTGTTTATTTATTTCTCTTCTCCTTTCTACATTAAACTCTTATCGCTAAGCCCCTGAAGTAGGCTTTTGCTGCATCCCATATAATTATCATTTCTGTATCTTGGGGTTTACTAATTTGAAAGAAGAATTCTAATTTTAAATTTTTCTTTAATGTTACCATTTTTACACCATATCACAAAAGTGGGGAAAAATAGAAACAGAATGTTTGGGCAAGTAAAATGAGGAAAGGAAAGACAGAGTGAAGTAACTGGGAAGAAGACAGGGGGATGACAATCTGTGTTAGGTGTGAGATGGCTGGGAAATATTCTGGATGTATATGGGCAGGTGTTACAAGGAGGACCCAGTGTATCCTGGTGCATCCACCAACAAATATATCCTATGTCTGGACACCAGTACTGGGATGATCTGTTCAAATCAGCAACAGTACAATTATCAGAATGATCAAGAGTAACTCCAGAATGATTGAGGACAATGACAGCCATATAAAAGAGCTCTGCATTAATGGCTAATTGGCAGCTTCCACAGAACAGAGGAGAAAAAGGCAGGCTTAGTCTGTTCGGCTACAGGACACCGACCAGATTGGATTGTCCTGGGACAACAGCTCCTTAAATAGTTGGTGGTCTTCTTGAGTTACAAATTAGGAAGTTACTAGAAGTCCAGCTACAGTGACACTGGGCAGCTTTGATCTTGTTCTGTGCATTTTATTGCAGGAAAAAAGGATCCTCTCTCTGGACTCAGCCAACACACGGTTGATGAGCGCCCTCACACAAGTGAAGGAACACTACAGCATGCAAGCTCGGAATGGCATCTCCCCCACCAACCCCACCAAGCTTTCCATCACGGAGAATGGTGAATTTAAAAACAGCAGCTGCTAACATCAATCGCTCCTGCCAACAATATGATCTCCCATCCTGCCCCCATGCCTGGCCATCAAATTCCATCCATGCTGCTTCAGAGTAGGATGTTTCAGGGAAACCTGGAGACCAGGAAGTTGTGAACTGTGATCTCTGTACAATTTTAATGGTGGTAATCTTCCAGCCTGCCACTGCCACATAGAGTCTAGCTTCCCTTTGGAAGGGAGTTCACAAGGAGGTCACCGCACTTAAAGCTGTTGCCTTGACAACTCGCTCTTTGTGTCTCAATCTTGGTCTCGGACTCTCCCGCATTCTCACTCTCTCACACACACACATACATTCTCTCTCTCTCCTGGAGACCTGGGTGAGTTGTTCTCCCTTTGGCCACAGGATCAGAGCATATTTGCACACTGTCTCTGTCAGCCCAACACTGCCTCCTCTCTCTCTCTGCTTCTCTCTCAAACACACCCATGCACACATCTCTCCTCATCCTACATCAGCACCTGGGTGAGGCTGTCAACCTCTTCTGCCTCACTCCTTGGATCAGCCCCCCAGGTAACACATAGGCTCACCTTTCCCACTGCATCAGGCTGGGATAGTCATCCTTCTCCTCACTCCCCACATTGGGACTATTGGGTGTTGTTTGGTGTGTGCTCTGTATTGGTCCTAGACTACCTTTGTTTCCTAACCTCAAGTTTCTTCTCAGGACTGAGGCTTGTTGGGACAATCATCTGTCTAGATCCCTGCTTGCCCCCCTCTTCTCCTTGAGTTGTGTGATCAGCCTGAGTCGCTGAAGTTCCCTCTACTCTTTAGGCATCCTATTCCCTGCTCAGTTGTTTCTCCTTGTTTTTGCAAATAAAATTGTGAAGAATTGGGCAAGATCTGTATCCCCCTTTTACTTGCTCCTGCACTACCATCACACAGTTTGGGCAAAGAGCTCAAAGCATGTCATAGCAGCACAGGAAGCCTGGGGAGCCATGTGCTTCTTCTTCTCACAATTGGTAAAACAATTGGCCAGGCAACTGCTTCATATAAGAATTGTAATTAATTCCATGTGAATGAGAGGGAAAATAGTTCCTTTAATTTTTTTTAAAAAAATAGAACTAATTTGGTAAACATGTTCACTGTACTGTTATTGAAGTGACAACATGCATCCATGTTATGATCATCCCCTCTTTTTTTTTAAAAAAAGGATTAGTGTTCATTAGCTTAAAAAGTAACTAGTTATTAGTAACTCCATACTTCAAATCTCTGGTCAACCTTCCCAAGATTTGCATTCCTGGGTTTTCAACCTACCTCTCATGTTTTTAGAGCAACCCATGACATTTTTGCTGGACATGTTGGATAGAAAAGGCATCAACCAACCAATCCAGGCACAAAGGAGGCTGCTAGTTTCTATGTTATGGAGGTGTGCCCTGGGAGCCAATAGTCTGCTTTAGAGCAGAACAAAAATGTTCTACACAAGAAACAAACAAACATACATTTATTACCATACCTTTCATCATATCATAATCAACACTGTACATACATGGCAGTATGTGATGGTAAAAGATTTGAACAGATGCCCTCTTTCAAAATGTGATAATCTCTACCAGCCTTGTATTCCCTTTTCCCAAACTTCCTGGGAGCCTCCTGCTTGAAAGTGAGGTACTTTGTGAATATCTGAGAGAGAGAATCAAAAGGGACAGCTTGGGCATTATTTTAAAAAAAAATGTTTACAACTAAACTATGCTTGCATTGTCTGTGAACCTCACAGAGTATATCCTTCAATGCACGACGCCCTTGATTTTCTATACTTTGTTATGAGGAATAAAATTCTTACTTTAAGCTATTTATACTGGCAGGACTTCAAAAGACTGTAAAAATGCCTTGCTTCATGCCAGCCTTTGCAGCAGCATGGAAGAATCTTTCTCATAAGATGGCTCATATCTTTCTGACCTTTTGATGCAGATTTACCTCAGCAGAGTTCCTTTGCCTCCTCAGTACATTACCTGAAAAGGCAAAACCTGCTTTTGTGAGGGGGTGGATTGGAGAAAGAACCAACCTCTGATAAAGTGGCAAGGAGTCCAACTGAGAAACAGAGCTTATGGCCTCTGAAGCATCTTGCTGATATAAAGAAAAGCAGATGGATGGGATAAGAGGGTGTTAATTACAATGTTGTGTACCATATAAATGTGTCTGAATCCAGGATCCCTTTTTTCATGCCATACAGTCACCACATTGACGTTTTCTGTGATTTTGGCATGTTGAACACTCTGAGGAATGCTTTGGTTTGTGTCCAGGACAACGACTCACCACACTCTGAAATCAATTCCTATGTAAATGAAAATGTTATCTTAGCCTATTTGAGAACGGCAGTGAATTTTTGTAGGGAATAGACAAATCTGTTGGTTTTATTTATTCCCGCATTTTACTTTCTCAGTTTTGTCAAGTTGGGTAATATCTGAGAGAGAGAGAGAGAGAGAGAGAGAGAATATCCTCCCCCATCATGAATGTTCTGACTGAGCAAGGGATCACAAAACATAAATTTCCTGCCTTCCCTCAAAGCATCTTCTACTACTACAAGACTTTATTTCCATCTGCTCAAAAAAAATGAAAGACTGTTTCTCTTTTTATTTATTGTTTTTTACTTTATTGAAATTTTAAATTTTTAGTGATATAGTATGCAAGTTGCATCCCCAAAATGAACAAAACCCTCCTGTCATTTTAGGTTGTTAATTGAACAGTATTTGTGATTGTACCCGTTCTTCAAGTTTGTTTTCATTTGAAATAGCTCTGAGTAGCTGCCAGTTTAGTAGCAATACATGTACAGAACTTCTGTTAAGAATCTTTCCTTCATCATTCCTCAACATAGTGTTTCCATTTGTTGTGGGTCTAATGCATTTATTTATTTGAATAGTAATAACTTTGGCAAAGTTCCTACTAATTCTCTATGTTTATATGTATGATTTGAAGGCCAAATTAGATGTATGGAGATGAACCCAAGTTCCTGCTAAACAAGTATGAAGTTGTACATGTCAGTAAACTTTGGTCTTGATTCCCCCCTTCCCATGGTAATATGTATTACCCCAAAAATTTCACAGTGTGGTAAGCCACATTGTGAAATTCTTGGGGTAATACACATTACTATGGGAAGTCCTCCAACACATTTCACAATGTGTTGGAGGACTTTCATGCTCATTTTTCTGAGAGTTGCCCAGGGTTTCTGCCTTGAGTGAACCTCTGCAAAGTGGTATCAGAAAGGGGCAAGTGGAATGGAGAAGTGACAGACCATGTACCAGTTTTTGCCCCACCACCTCTTATGTGGCCAGTTGGGGTGCTAAGGCAGGTTTGAGAAGTGACAACAAGGTGGGTCAGAATAAAGTGGTAGTGAAGAAGGTGTTAAAAACATACTGCTTTTCTGCTGCAAAGTGTTCCTGCCTTTCCCCTTTGTAGCTGTCCATTGGCAAATTGATTTCAAGACATAAATCTATCCCATGACGTCTAATCTGGCCTTACGAGAATGATGTACAATGCATCCCCTTGTTTTTTGAGTAAGCTTTTGCATGTTAATACCATTAGAAAAGATTCGTATCCACTTTGTTCTCATTTTATTTTCACATGCAAGCAGAACACTGGACTGCATTATAAATGTCATTCCAGTGTTTCTCTGAAATTTTGATTTGTAGATTATTTCCCTATTTCTATCAATTTGGGATAATATTGATTTTGAAGAGCTAATAATAGCCTTATATGCAGCTTCTTTCAGATTCCTAATGTTGCACTTTGAGACAGGAATGCTAATTTGTAAGTACAGTACTGCAAAAACAGGGGAATATAATTTTGCATTTTATCTCATTTGGCTCTATATCAGAAACCTTTTTCCAATATATAAATCATATAATCTTGTCAATTTAGCATTTTCCCACTCACAAAACTGCACAGTCCTCTAGCCATAAGGAAAAAATACGCTGGCAATAAATTACCTAAAGGAGCTTCATGGGATAGGAATAAGTAGTTATGTATCTTCATTTTTTAAATATTATTATAAAACAGTGTATTACAAAACCGTTCAGTGACATTACCTAGTCATGTAAGTGATAATGAGACCTTGCTGATCTGGAGCTTAATTAACCTTTCATTTTTCATCAGTCAAAATGGCAGCAGGGAAATAAGACTGCTAGCCCTCCTCTTAGTGCCTTCTACTTAGTGCCCAGAGACCTTTGGGTAGTGTGGCGGCATATAAATAAATAAATAAAATTAATTAATTAATAAATACTACATTGGGTGCTTCTTTGCTTATTCCAAATAAGCAATGCATTGAGGACCAAATTAAATCCTTAGATTCTGCTGTGGTATGGTTATAATCACAGTAAGAAAAAAGGACAGAAGTGCAGGTAACATGCCCATTTTTGGCATCACAAGCCTTCTCAACTATGAAACACTAAGAGAATATAGACTGGCCCTTTTGGAACAGTAAATAGGGTCATTTGAGGACAAGCAGCGGTGCACAGTGTCATTTGGTATGATATCCTCACATCCAAATAGCATACGGACTTCAAGCAATTCTATTTAGTCCAGCTCCTTCCACTGTCAATTTCTGGTATTGCGAAGTGGCTTAATAAATGAGCCACTTCAGGAAATTGAAAATTTTCTTTGCAGTTTTAGCTCTGTGATCAGCACTTCAGTCACAACAAATACATTTTTTAAAATAATCTAAGTGCTGCAGTGCATCAGCGATGATCTAAAGAAGTGAAAAAATAATAATTTCACTTCCCCTGACCCTCCACCAAGGAGCAAAGGAAGTGTTCAATTTGCCAATGTCCTGAAGTGCCTCATTTAGTAAGCCACTTCACGATACTGGAAACTGACAGTGGAAAGAGCCTTGACAAATTAAAGTTCACTTCACAGTCCTTTCCCAGTGCTGTAAATGGCAAACCTACCAACACCAAAAAAGTAGAAACCTGACGGGCTTAGAAAGGGGGCACTCCGGAGGCAGATTGCTTTGCTGTAATGAATATGTTGTCTGATTGCCAGGGCAAAAAAAGCAATCAACCCATCCCTGCAGCACACTAAATAGCAGGCCTGTCTGATTGAGCCCTTAGTTTAAATTAGTGACATACAACCTCTTTTGATGAGGTTGGTCTACCACTCCACTGCTGACTAATTAGTGGGGAAGGACTGTGGAAGTGGCAGGCCCAACAACATATGGAGGACAACATGTTGCCCAGCTCTGTTTAAACAATTTATTTCAATCTTGATTTATCAATAGATCATCCTGGGAGTTAACAGCCTGCTCCTTAGCTGTTGTTTGCAGGATTGTCCCCACAATGGATGGAATTCATTGCAGTGGTATCGACAGATTGAAGGAAACACATTATGGTCTCTGCTCTCCCTCATGGTCTTTTATCTTCCAAAGGTCCCATTTTGAAGTAAAAAGTTTTTGGAAACTCAGAGGGCATCCATTTGGGGAGGGGTGTATGTATCTCAATCAACATCTGACCTCCATGTGAAAGAGAGTTGAACTGGAGAAATGCATGTCTCTTTGCTGCTCTCAGCCTCTTTTAGCCATGAAGTAGAATGGTAGGCTTCCAGAAATGCTGTTGGCAGTTTTGTGCTAATTGTGATCATGGCCCTAATTATCTCTGCCTACAAATCTCTTTGATCTTGGAATAGAGAAATGTCTGTCCTTCCATTAGCTTATCTCCAATAGGTGGGGGAAGGCAAAATGTGTGTGACTTTGGAATTCTACCTGTACAACAGATCTGCTGTCTCCAAGGCCTTAATAAGAATGTAACCTTTCTCTCCCGCCTGCCATGCTAGCATTGAATAATTTATTTCGATATGGTTTACCCCTTGTTTTCTTGTCCCAAAATCTGTATTTTTATGCCAGTAGTGCTGGACTCTTGGGTCACCAGGATCCATTTCTGCATTTCATTGTCTGGGTTTGTTCTAAAGAAGATTTATTTTTGTTCTGTGAATATTTTTGGAGAGTTTCTTGTATATGTACAGATATAGATACATTTGAGGTCTTTTATTAATATTCCTACAAAGAATTACAAAATAAAGTTTACACTGATTAAAATTTAAGCACTACAAGAACTCAGTTTGGAAGACAGAATGCCTGGAAATGCCTTTCCTAAGAAATTTCAGAATTGCAACCCCAGTTGCAAAAGTCAAAAGTCCCAACATAAATGCCTTCAAGGCATTATGTGTGTGCATGTGTCTGGTCTCTGGGTGTCTGTGAATTTCGTTGTATGTGTATATACTTACAATGACAATAAATTATTATTATTATTTAAAGAAAACACACACACACACAGACACACACACACACACACACATTTAGCCATACTTCACACAGTTCACTGGATTGAGATTTCAGAGGCCATGAGGGGGGATGGCTGGTTTAGAATATAATTAAAAACAGCAGAGTGTAAGATGCTGTTTTCACTGGGGTTTGTGCAGTGGAGAGGAGCTATTTTGGATTTTGTCATGGGCCCCAAAATAGCTCAGTGCTGCTCAGGATATGTTCATCATAGGAAATGACAGCTAAATGAAACCATCTCCATGTTTTCTCAGATGGTACAATATTATCTACACCTTACTTTGGATCTGACCTTCATTGTGTCAGTGGATAACTCCTAAAGGTAAAGGTAAAGGTTCCCCTTGACATTTAGTCCAGTCAT